CAATTTCATGCATGTCTTCTAATAGTAATTACTGTGACATGACGAGTGAATTACTCTACACGACTCAAGGCACAAGCACTAAAATTCGTGTCAAACAGTAATGTAAGTAGTCGAAAGATTCACACGGCGGTCGATATCTATATGATTTTAGTTTATGACGATGACAATCGAACCGTGATATCTGGATACAAATAATTACGGATAACTTACTCGTAAATGAAATCTGTCCCATCAGACCAGCGAAATGTTTTTTTTTCTTTTTTATCATTGAGACCAATCCAGTGCTTGTTATTTTTCAATTTCGTCTCTAACCAATCCTATAAAACATATATCAAGTAGCAGATATCAGAAATGCATAACGAGCAATGACTAGATTTAGTTTAAAATTAGTAATCGTGATAACGTTTCGTCCCTGAAGCCGTGAATGTTATGTCTGATATCACATGTTCGTAGAGCTAGTTGATTCGAGTGACGTCATTGATTAGTATTATCATTTTACGGCTCTACAATATTTGAATCATATACTGGTTTATGCTTATCGTGCATGACGTCTAAGTGCGTCGGTGTTACCGTTGATGGTTTTTGAAATCGATTAACATATTACTTTCATTGCAATTTTTCAATATAAAATTTCAGTTGCCAATTGTATGTGTTTATCGAGCATATTGTCGCGCTCAGCATGAAATAGGAGTTAGCTATAATTCACACAAAACGTCACTAATGCTAATGAAATGCACTTTGGTCATGTGATAATTAATAATACAATGTTATAATAAATAATAAATATAGCTACAAGCAGCTATGACCAGCTTTCGATGCAATGCTTGCGTTAGCGCAGAATTGCATTTATGCAACATAGTTATGACATTACACTTCTGTAACATCTAGGCAGACATGTACTGTATACTGTAAGCAAATTGATCACAATATATGCTGCTCTAATCACAGCATGGTGAACTGATCACACTATATGGCAAACAGGTCACAATTTGGTGGAGAAAGGCGCTGTTATTGTAAATTGGTGACAGTATATGGTGAACCATGACCAGTTCACTATATTGGGGCCAGTCTATTCGGCTTTTAAGTAAAGGACCATAATACTATTGAATTTGAAAAAAAAAAGTTTGAAGGATTTAATTTGTGCAATTTATATACATGTAGGTTATACGATCGTCTTATGCAATGCCATGTCGCTAACATCAATGGTGCTCTCGATATTATAGATATGCATACTTAATGAGTTCCATGACCATATATGGTCATTGAACATGTTAGCAATTTCTTTTGTTCAATGCCTTCAATATAGCATTGGTCCCATGTTTGTATATGCAATAGTGTTTGATATATTAGAGACATGCATATTTAATGAGTTATATGACCATATATGGTCAACGGATATGTTGGCCAATTTATTTGTTCATTGCCTTCAATATAGTGTTATTTCCATGTTTGTACATGTAATGGTAATTGAGATATTAGAGACATGTATATTTAATGAGTTTAATGATCATATATGGTCAACGAATATGTTAGCCATTTTATTTGTTCATTGCCTTCAATATAGTGTTATTTCCATGTTTGTACATGTAATGGTAATTGAGATATTAGAGACATGTATATTTAATGAGTTCTATGACCATATATGGTTAAGTCCTTGACCAATCAGGACAATTTTTGTAGGCAGTCATGACACTGTTACTCACTACATGTATGCTAAGTGTCATGTCATTCGGACTCCTTGGCTTTTTTGACCATATAAGGGACACAAATATGGCAGCAAAGGTCACATGTTCGCTCCAGTTTTTCTTTTCATGAATATTGGTAAGAACATACCACAGGTGCTACATAAAAAAAATGTGGAGATTCTAGACCATCAGTAAGTGGTGCAGTCGAGCACTTCCGGGTTTTACTAAATCCAAGATGGCGGCCGAATGACGTCACATATCAACAATTGGAAACTTTGTTTTAGAGAATTGCTTATAGAACGTGTCTGTAAGGTTTCAGGTCAAATGGGCAACCCGTCTTCGAGAACAAGAGTTTTGACAATTTTGAAAAAAACGGCAGAATAAAAATAATGATTAGCCCGGGTGAATAAACTATTCACATGTTTTAGATATTGATTGTGCATATTATTTACGCCACATAAAACACATACAGCGTCCATGGACGGTGAATGAAATTGCATATTTTACAAACTTAGCATATATTAAACCAACTTCAGGCTAACACGGGTTTAAGGTTTTAGGATTTAATAAATCTTTAGAAAGTGTGAGATTACAGATATAAACCACAGTTATGGTCAAAGTCAAATACAAATACATACAATTACGAAACGATGAAATCTGAACTAATGGCTCGGGACTGTGATTGAGTGTAGTGTTTCTTACATTTTCGCTGGGACTGTGAATACTTGTTAAGTCACCGTCCCTGTCACGACACCAATCTTTGGCCGCTTCCCATTTCTTTTTATTGTTACTAAAGTAATAACAATGATCTTCATAGTTTTGCCAATCCTGCTGACAATCTGTGAACATACATTTAAACATCAAGATATGTAAGTATAATTGAAATGCAGGATAATCTTCAAAACGTTACAGGAATTGCAATATTTAGCTTACCACTTCCCATACGCTGATCGGAATTACCAACAACTATTGGATTCTCGGTCAGGTAAGATTCCTCGACTATACTTAGCTCAGAATTTTACCAGATATCGGCACCAAAAGTGACAGTTCACTACAGCTAACAAACGCCAAGTTTACAATATCTATCAGGGATTTTATCTAGAGTCGGGATTTAGACAAACTATTATTGGTATGCATTTACACAATAAACGGTGAGTTGATTTTTGTTAACATAGTTTGTCTCGGATTAGGGAGTGTAGTTACCTGCATACATTGAAATATATACGAGCAAAAAACTGACATGTTATGCCATCTATTGTCAAAGTGGTTTGGGTTACTCACTAACACGTAGTTATTATTGTTAATTATGATGTGTGTCATTTTTGTGGAGTCTCAAGATGTTAATTTATTACATACCTTTAGATTCAACTTTTAAACATAGCATCAACTGTATCAGCCACAGCACCAAGCACAACCGAATCACCAGAAAGTGGTCGACAATCATGAATGCTTCTGTTTGTGACTTTATTTTCTCTAAATAGTAAATATATATATTATGCTCGGCATGAAAGAAAATAGTTATATTTACTTTATGTGCTTCTTTATAAAACACTCATGAAGCACCAGGATCCAAAACTTCTATTTTGTTTAGATTTTTAGATAATAAATTGTACCTCAATAATCATTTGCACAATTACAAATAAATAGACAAAATATAATTTGCTCTATTTTATAAATCATCACAAAATAGTTATTGTGTCAAACAATATGAACAATAATATTATGAGGTTATTACGAGGATACCTCAAAGTATGCAGAGTACAACACGAATATCCATCAACGAGCAGCGTACTGTCTGAGTTTAATAGCCAAAATTCGTTACTATTCTTAACTACTTTTTTGAAGAACCTGGCACACATAGACCGAATTGTTTTCTAACACGTCAACATAAAGTCGACAATCAAAGCAGTCTCGTATATGTAAGGTGATCCGACAAAGAGTAACCGTCAAATGTCATAAATGCCAATTTTGGGTGGTATTCCCTTGTACACTACTTACCTATTTACTGTAGAATATGATGTCTGAATCTAATAGCAATGCACCACGCATGCGCGATATTGGATTCAATCAGATGACCTATGACACAAAAATTAGATATAGCCATTAAGAAAAAGAGCGGTAAACATATACGTAATTTGGGAAATTATTGTGTTTGCTGAAAATAAGCTAGTCATTGAAGCCATGATAAACTATAGTATGAGCAGTGATTTTAAAAGAAATCATGCATTATGACCTTATCTTGTCCGTTACAACGTATCGAATCAAATAAGAACAAACATCGACTGACAGTTGGCTTACTCATGCTAATGTTTACAGACCATATCATCAATAACAGAGATTACAACGAAATCGTACCAGTTGGTGATGGCAAACGGTGTCAAGCGTATTTGCCCTAGGTGTTTTTTAAACAATATCGTTGCCTGACACGGTATTGTACGTGCAAATATTCATAATGGTACAGTCAAACTTGTCCTTTTTGGATAGCCAGTATATTATCTATTACCATTATTGTTTCTACGGCCACTTCAGTTTCTCTAGTCTATACCAATAACTGCATTCCTATACAGCCAACATCTTATTACCTGTATACATTTGGAGACATAACTGAAATGAAACCACGTTGGCATATTCACTAAATTGACTAATACATTTCATGGCAACAGCTCCCGTGCTTAAATATAGGTGTTTCCCGGTGACAGGTGCGCACATACCATGTCACTGCTGGATCTATATTGATTTGATGTATTTGGAAAAGAACTCGACAGTTTAAGCAGTCATACCGGCACCATTCCAACCATTTTAGATGTCTAGGTTTGAAAATATAACGCACAATCAAGTCAGTGGAACCAATTCCGTGTAGGGATCTTAAGGGACTTTTGGAATGCCAAGCATTGCAGAGGAATAAGTAAATATAATCGAGTTGGATGTTGGGGAAAATATATTCGGTCATGACCAACGGCTACCTGTCATTTTCTCTACTGCATCACTAAATAATAAACTGTGATTGTTTGTGGTATCATCATGCGTTGTGTCTGCTACTCAACTAGTGTGACATGAGGTTAATCAGATCCACCCAACCGTATACGCAACCAATTCTCTGTAAATACATTTTATGTCTAGTTGTTTTCATCGCCCTTCCAGGGAAGGTTAATAGTTTAAACAGATAACAAAGACATCAATTAAATCGTTATCAAACACCAGTGACATACACAAAATCCGTAAGATATCGTATCCACGGTGACAGTCTTAGAAGTAAATATTTATCTAAATCTACGGGTCGCATTCAGTGCTCGTCTAGACAGAACAGTCTTCAACATGCCGTTGAAGCTAACCATGACCCGACAATTGGAACCGCCACTGTTTTATCTCGTTTTATTTCTCTGCCATGTTTACTTGGCCAGTTCAGTTTTTCTGTTTCGTACAAGTAGCTTGATTGTCATACAGCCAGATACCGAATACGTGTATAAATATGTAGACAGAACTGAGATGAAACATCTTGGCGTATTCACTACACAAGTCAAGGTGAGTAAGATGGCTAATACTTTCCGCGGCAACAGTTTATTGTATAATATAGAGTTTTGACCAGCGACAGCAGCGCCCATCATCCTTTATTATGGAGCCATGTCTGTTGAAACAAAGCTTCCTAAAAACCGCATATATCTTCATAAACATGTTATATATTTCATTAACGGATGGTGTAATATATGTTGGACTAGACTAAGATGGTCAGCCACACACAGTGCATTAGATACAAAGTTATATTGTAGCTGGACAATGTCAATTATCAAGAACGAGATGTTTTATTCGAGGTGGTTCATTGTGAACTCGGCAGTAAACCGTGATAGTCGTTGATAACACTAGTTTCGGTCACAGATATTTATTAATTGGAGACAGAAACAATAAATACAGTTGAACAGTATACAGTGTGAATGTGTTGAAAATTAGCTCAGCAAATTCTGTGATTTTTTGCCTATAACCAAGTTCATTTTTCGCCATTTTTTCCTCTTTTTTTAAATTATGTTCTGGTTATCCCTTGTTGTGTGTATTTGATATAAATTCGCATGTTTTGTTTCGTATTCTGTTTATTTTCTGGCGAAATTGTCGAGTTGGCAAGATGAACGCCGCCGTGATGAACATGCAGCTTAGTGTGCGATTGACCCGTCACCAAGCCGTCAGTTGCAAATCAATCTCTAGGTTCGGTATATAGTCATATATGCATCTTCCGTTGAAAAAAAAATTGTTGGCCAGCCACCGCATTTCACTTTATACTGACGTGAACAAAGTTTGTACGAAAAGTTATTTTTTTGGAACTGTTAGTGAAGCAAGCGACTGAAAAATGGCCATGGTGGCAGTTTAATACTATATTATCTGCTCGAACGTTAAAATACAGTGCTTAAGCATGTGAAGTCATTTCGACAACAGGTGTATGCCATAACTGATAAGGACAAGATCGACATAAAAGAACTGTCCTTTTAGAATGTAACATCTGTCTAAAGAACACATTCACGAGGTTTATTGTTCGAAAACTATGTGATTTATTGTTCAAGTGCGGTTGACAAAATGCTAATGTAACACTATTATGGAAATAATCAAAATATAAGTAGCGCAATTTGGAAACTAACACTGTTGAATTGCCCATGTAACCCGCATCAATCTCGGGTCAAAGGTCAAGGCCACTATTTATTTTGTACAGTTCCAAAAGGAAATATTTTTATTTCACTGGTATGTGACCAACATAACCATTTAAATTTTCTGCCCAAAATTGTGTTAATGATATGTTCTTAATATCCATTTTATGGTCAAAAAGTTAAGGTTACATATATGTGTAATTTGCCTAAACTGTGGATCCGAATGTTAACATATATATTGAAGAAATCTAGTGCACGTTGGCATATCCCCGAGTGCTGTCTTGTTTGTTATTATTTTCAGTTGAGTATCATGTTGCTGGATAAACAGGATGAAGGATTTCATTGTCGACTTGAATTGAAAGATTTCACCATTCAATACTCGAATACATATCATGGTGAGTATTGGTCAGTTAATAGAAATATGAACTACGACGTCATTTAACATTTTACTTAAATGTTAATGAAATGTCAAATATACTACTTTTCGCTGTTCTGTAGAAACAATCAAGCCGCCTATAATGACATGGGATTTGGATGAATGGTATGTATTCACTTCATATTGGCGTATAGTATAAATCGAGTAGACTTAAATTTAAACTAACCTAGTGCTTCTTGACCAATCCGAATGCTACATTACAATACTTAATATATATACTAAATGTCATGTTGCCGAGTTTGACCTGTTTTCTCAAGTCAAAAGTATTTGACTCTTCTCATAAATTGTTCTATGGACTTTTATACAACCAGTGCCATGAGACTTTTGCATCACGTGACATCAAATATAAAACACTGACCTAGTGTGACTATGGCAGATAACCACAAAAACTTTGAACTTCATGCAATCAGAGATGTAAAATACATTCTGCTCATTACAGCAATGATGCTGGTCATTGGCTTTTGGTCTATATGATATTTTGAGATGAATACTCATAAGATGATTATTCATTCATCGTTCATCTGTCACAATTTCATATGCAAATTTTACTGATTGTAGGCATTGCATAATAAATGTCCCGAGACTTATACAATATTTCATTTGAAATTAGAGGTATGACCTCTTTTCCCATAACGTATTTCATCAGAATTTTTTAAAGGACTCACTAAAAGCCTTGAGAAGTTGAGAAGAATTCCTACTCCCCAAATACATATCTATATATAATTCTATTCACAATAGATAGTCTTTTTTTTAAACGGATATTATACCCCCGAATAGTCCTGATATGGGGCCTTATATTCCACACTACTGCCACCACTACTATTGACACTCTGAGCTCACGTCTTTAACTTTCACATTAGGTTTTCATTCGTCATGTCCGAACATGGAGAAATACACACCGTGTACTATTCAGTCGACGACGATCCCGAAGTTATTAACTTTAAGAAGTCTCTCTTGAATCAATTATCTTCAAAGCTTCTTTCAGCTCCATTGACTAACAACATTGGTAAATGGTCTTACCATGTAAATGAAAGCAGTCACGAAGGTAAATATACATGTGCACATAACATCACCAATATGTGCATAACTTATATTAGAGCTTTGCCATTCACTAACTATTACCATAGTGCCAAATGACAAGTAGTATGTATAGACCGATTTATTTCAATTGAGCATTGTCATTTACAATATTGATACTATTTAATTTAAATTTAATTTTTTTTAAGGTCATGTTCACAATAGTTATACAGCAGAAGACTCGAATGATGCAGACTCCATCAAATTTCGAAAACAAATGCAAATGAGCGAAGAACCAGAATTCATACATAGAGTCCATGAACGAGTAAATAATGTTGTGTTACCTAGTTTGCCAAATGCGATATATTGTATAGAGACATATTTATACATCTAAACTATTTATATATTTATGAATGAAACTGTTGCCATTCAACAATGTAAGTTGGTATATATATATATATATATATTTTTTTTTTGTTTCAAGGAAATCATATATTCCAAGATTCTGAAGGTCCCTCATTCTATTTTAATCACGGATAATCTGCACGATGTTGATCGATTTAGGTAAGTGTTGCACGCTTTCACATTTAAAATAAGATGAGAGTTGACTATCTTGCATGTTATCTGTGACGTTGAGGATTCAAATTGAGCATGTTCATTTGGTCTTTACATGGATACATTTACTACACACTATTTCAAACTGTCTTATTTGAGGTAGTGCGCTATAGACTAACAAGAAGTGCACCTGCTCACAGTGACGAGGTTTATTTGCCATAGTTTGGAGTTCGAATCGCGTATTTCAAGTTTCTGTTTTCATATATGTGGCCGTAATTTTGATTTCCTCTCTTGATTGAATTGCTCTTCTTCCAGAATTCCAGACCATATGCGACGAGGGCGTTCGACACATATCAACACTAATGAACGCAATGTTGGAATGAATCACACTGGTAGGTTTCCATGAAACATGCATAAGCACTCGTAATTTTGTTAGTAACAGAAAAAAATATTTCAATTACCGTTTTCTAGGGCACACATTATTATTGCATTTCACAATTGTTCAAGTGGATGGTGTGGATTTCATGTAGTTGACAATAGATTCCAAAGTTAATCATTTATGAACTACTGTTATTTGCATTCTTATATTTTAACACATTTATTATGATAATATATTTCCTCAACAGGAATGCCACCTGTTGACGTAGCTGGGAAATGCACGATCGACCTGATTGCAACTATTCCCAAAGTGTCATCCCACTCAGTAGAAGATGAAATGAGTGACGTCACAAAAGACACACTGACTGTTAGACATGTATGTAATAATTGTTCATAACTTCTCAAACACGAATTGCACAGTTATGTATGTATCATTTATTTGTTTATTTTCGTTACAGGTTCCTCAGGAAACAATACCAATATTTGTCATTGAAGAACACCTGAGAGGTAACTTGACGTGTATGAGATCAAAAGGTGTACACCATGGTAAGTTACATGCAATATATACAGTGTGGGCTGAAGCATAGTATTTTCTGTAACATCGTCAGCTGCTGAATTTGGTATATATTTTACATGCGTCGTTTGCGTCAACTTTTTTTTTTATAATTCAGACTCCTGAAGTAATTAAATGTATTTCTCTAGTTCTAGATATGTTTCTCTCAACAGTCTTTCTTTCTCATAGCTGTGAGTCTACAGTGATATATTTGTCCTATAGTTCGTTTGGTTTCAAATAAATAAAAATGTAACACTTCATTTTTCTTCGGATTGCAGTTTGATCAAATAATTTGATTAGGTCTTCCAGCTGGCTATCCATTTCTTTGTCAAAATACAGTGTTTCATTTCTTCCCCTCACCATCTATACCACCGAGATAAAGAATGATTTGAATGTCTTGTCAACATGTAGTGTTATTTCTTCTTTCACTCTTTCCCTGCTAAATTCTTACAGTAATTCTTCTTGTTTTCACCCTTTTGGCAATATTGTGCCACCATATTTTCTGCCTCTTTTTTCAAATGTGTGCTGTTAACAATTACATTGTTGTGCCACCGTATTTTTACACTTGCTTCTGTGACACCTGCTGGTTGCTATACAGTGTGATCATGGTAAAAACAATTAATTCAGATTCAATTATGCTCGGTTGCTCTATGCAAAATCGGTCACTCAAAAGCAAACAATTGCTTTGGTTGGCTCTTTCATTCTAGTCGCTGGATCATTCAAGCGCTTCTGACGTATATTGTAATGGTATCCTTGTAAATTTCATTAAGTAACCTCACCATGTCCGGGTTTATATAACACTTATTTATTAGGGTGACACGACGTAGAACAGCATGTACACCCACACTAGTTACTAATTACTAAGTAGCACATTGAACAATTGGAAAATTGAAGCTATTAAATTTTCCTTACGGTCACACAGGTGATGTAGAGCCGGTACGTTGTTTTACAAATCTCACTGACATGTTATCGAGGTTATCATATGAGGATGCATACTATGTTGCTGATAACTACATAAGAAGACAACAAGACGATGAAGGTGTGATGATGGACACATTTAACATCATTGATGCACTGGGGTCGGCTGCAACGCACGCAACTCAAATGGCCCTAACTATGAAAGTATTACTAGCAACTCAATCAGATGCTAGCATAATCATGGCTGTGTTGCAGCAGTTTGTAAGACTGACTAACCCACCGCCAGAAATATGTGTTGACGTGATTGAGAAGATTGCTTTGGCAGATAAACATAAATTTGAAGGTGAGAATAACACAATGATCATGGAGGTTAAATTATTTATTATAATTGGAAACTAATGCTAACAACAGTAGAATATATAGAACAAGAACATTAATTTCTTAGTGTCACATAAGTTACTTGGTGACATAAATAGAATATCTGCTTTGTGTTAATTGCGGAAAAAAGAATGGAATATATCATGTGATATAAATCAATATAATGAATACAATTCAGACCCAATGTATGTTATTTCTGTTTTCAGATAAGAAGGATTATTATTACGTTAAAAATAGAGCAATTTTGGTACTCGGATCTGTGGCAAAGACGTTGAAAGGGTATGACGTTAAAAGATACCGTGAACTTGTGGATACCATGGAGAAGCGACTCGCAGAAAATG